TTTGAGCAATGGCGCTATTAGCCCACTACATTTACAAAGCAATACTGGGACTTAATGTGTATTGTTTGTCACACATGGTTATGTAAGGAATGAAGTAGAACCAGCCTGCCGTTACCGCAAAGTAAACCCTGGCAGGCTGATACGAGATCCTTATCACCCATCTGGGTTTGTTTTTTATTTTATGCATTATCCCGCATATTACATACAAGGCTACTTACCATGTGAATAAAAAAATGGTCATGCACCGTTACAAGGAACATAATATAAGCTGTGCAGGATGTCGTTTGCATTGAACGACAGTCAAATTTGCCACAATTTAATTAAGTCAAGTCACCTTTGTTTCTATAGCACTTTATACAATATTGATCGTGTCAAAGCAGCTTTACGGTGTTAAACAGGAACAATGCATGCTGATAATGCAAGAAGGCAACAGAAAACAGTTTTTCAGTTAAAGTCAGTTCATCGTTGATTCAAGTATTCCAGAGAGCCATGAAGTGACTGCATCTGTATTCATATTTGAACAGTTACCCACTTTGTTATTTGTGATGTCACCTCTCTTCTGATCTTCCTTTATTACACAACCAGTTGTTTTGCAGTTAAATCAAAAGTCAAGGTAAAACAAGCCAATGGATGAAAACAAATATGGCAATAAATATTGTACCAATTAGGACATTTTTATAGTATGCTAAGAGATCCCAGATCAAAATACTAATGTGTTACATACTCAATAGTATTACGCACATGCAACACAAATGTCTTGTAAAAAGGTCTCGAGTATAATACACTCATCCGTGTCATTTGTTGTGCATTATGATTCAGCCAATATCAAAATATGTTGCCATCCTCCGCTTATTTTCATAAAGTGCTATAAAGCGAGTTTGTTAACATTAACAAATTAATGATTAATTTCCTGCATGCACAGATAAATCAAAACTGCTGTGCGTAATAAGAAAACAAACCCTGTACAAAATGTGTGCTTGATGATGGTCTGATCGCAGCGGTCTGACAGCAGATGAGAAAGCACGCTAATACTTCAAAACATGACTTAATGGTGTACATTAAAGCTTTTACTCCGAGCGGTGCAGGGCAAAATGCTGAGTTGCGTAGTGTGTCCTAATGGGCTTCATTGTGGCTGTATCTCTCTCTCCTGGAGCCCAGAGAATCGATTTCTCCTCCAACACAACCTGTATGAATGTATTTTACGTCATCTTTTTATTTTTCCGTTAAGAATCCGCTGTCCACTGAGAAAGCAGCTCACCGTGCAGAGATTATTTTATAGCTGACCCAAAAAATCCTCTCAAAAACCTTTAGAGGCAGTGGTTTAGTACATTGTCCTCGCCACCAAACTCGAGGATCAAAAAGTACAGTGGGATGTGCAGCATTTATCAGAGATTTATCATCCTTCCTCCTCAGATGAAGTCATTTCCTGTTTGGTGTTAGTATCTAGTGTGCAGACTGTGGACTTTGCACCTGCATTACACCTTTAAGATGATTGAAATACAGAGTATAAAACTGAAATAACTTGCAAAATCATTCATTAAAATTCACTACAGACTTTCTTTCCACTCACCATCCGATAATAGATCAGACGCCCTTTGAAAAGAATTTTTTTTTTAAAATACAAAAAATGTAATACAAATAAAAAAAAGATTATGAAAGCTTTTTACTTGAAAGAGATCTCAAAAATTTCATGTGGCTTTACGGTAACAATAAATGGTATTTGATATGATTAATATCACATTGCTTTTTAAAATATGACAAATATGGTGATTTGGACATCCACCTTAATAAGTTATATTAAATAGGCCTATCATTATCTAATCATGTCAACAAATGGAAAAGCCCGCAAGATATTTATGATGACATCAATTATTGTGTCTTTAGCCGAACAGAAGCCCCAATAATACCATATTATCCAGTTATTGACCCTGATAGCATGGAACAGAGTTACTATTATAGTAAACTCTTTTTTTCTTCTTTAATCGCATTTATTGCATGCAAACGAATAAGGTAAGATTATCCATAGATAAGTGTGGCATCATTTCAAAGTTTTCTGCTTGGTGTCATGTAGATTGCAGAACTTAGTTTTATCAGAAATATAAAAAGGAATATAAATATACTAGCATATACTAGAAATATAAATATTGATCAACTGGTCTATAATGTCAGACAGACAGTTTTCCCCTCTCTCTGCTTGTTCCTGAGCTAAATAAACGTTGTAGTTGTTCACTCAGCTCTAAACTTTCTTTAATAAAAATATAAAGTCCTGACAGGTGACTGTCTTTGTGCTAGATATTTATTTTCCAGGCCAAATAAGGAAT